GTCCCACCGCCCGATCGCTTCCCGCTCCCGCCTTCCTTCCTTTTTCCTTAACTCTTTACCCTCCTCCTCCTCCTCCAACCCCTTCCGGACCGCCCGTCCTTCCAAAATCATCACCGGCTCCGGGTCACCCATGTGGGATACCCAGAACCTCCCCTCCGTCAGCTGTTGCTCCCAGGCGAACGTCAAGTAGTACTCGAAGCATCGCCGGTAACGGCTGGCCGTTAGGCTGAGGGACCGGACGGCGCCTTGGGCGGGGGAGTAACGGGTGAGGAGGTTGGAGTCCTGGAGCCAGTGCGAGGGGGAGGGAGGAAGCGATGGAGATGGAGGCCCCGGGGAGGACGACGAGTGGAGGAGGACGCCGAGGAAAGGGTCGGTGCGGCACGAGAAACACCCTCCGAAGAAAGGCAGGTTGGCCACCTCCTCGCGGCCTTCCCGCCCCATCGCCCGGCTTCCTACCTCCAGCAAGGCGGTCATTGCGTCGTACCCCTCCCGGTCCACATATAGCCCCTCCACCCACGCTTCTCGCCCCACAGTTAAGGTGGTCAAGACCGCACGCAGGACCTTTGCCTCTTCCACCGCTTCTACAATCGTCCTCCTCCCTCCCTCCCTCCCCGGGTTCCCATTGCAGAAAAGACAGCCCGTGGGCTCGGTCGCCTGAACCTCCTCCTTCTCTTTTTCCTCCCGGTCAATCCCTCCCGGCTGCTTACGGCCCCTCCCGCGAGAGGTGGAGGCGGACACGGAGTGGGCGCGTGAAGGTGGAAGAGCAGCGACAGTGGCGCGGAGGAGGTTGCGCAAGCGTTGCAAGGCGTTTTGGACGTGGAGAATGCACACGACCCACCAATTCTCTGCCTCCTGACGGTGCGATGGGGAGGGAAGATGGATCCTCTGCGGGGTCACGGTGTCGGACTCCCCCCACCTCAGGGGCGACACCTCGCCAAGGAGATGGGCCGGAACGCGCGGGTCCCGGCCATTCGACGACGAATGATGGGTTAGGAAGAGCATGAGGGCACGGACGAGGAGGTGAAAACGCTGGAGGTTCGGGAGGGCCGACGGGTGCAATGGGTGGGTGGTGTTCAGGTGGAGAAGGGAGAGGCGGAGGAAGAGGAAGAGGAGGATCCCGCTGTGGTTTTGCCCGGCGGCACCGATGAGGAGGGAAGGCCCTTCCTGTGCGAGAAACTTCAGCGACGAGGAGGAGAGGGTTATGGGGAGGAAGGGAAGGGAGGAGGTCGGGGGGGAGGGAGCAGGAAAAACCGAGGAAGACGGAGAAGTGGGAGAAGAAGAAGAGGAAGAAGAAGAAGAAGAGGAGGAGGAGGAGGAGGA